CGAGAATACCAAAGCCCTAAGATGCAAAGGATCACCGCCGGCTGACCAATCTCTTTTGAAGCCACGTTCCTCTCTTTCAGTGAGAAAGACACGCTCCTCCGCGTCAATGCCTCTCCAACTGTCCAGATGCCGATTGGAGGTCACCAAGTCAGCCTTTCCCTATCGAGACGCGACACCTTGGAGCCGCCGGCCTCTGACCACCACCATGTCTTCATTTCTAGCTTCTGAGGGATTTAACATTCCAAAACGCAAATGTTGGGTCATGCGCCTGCGTCTAAGCCCATGCCGGTTACCTGTGTGATTGTATGCCTATGTATGTACGTGCGTAATCTTTGCAAGTCAATGCGGATCCAATATACTTTCAATGTATTGTCATTCATTTTTGTGTGCGTACGCTGGGTTTGGCAAATTCTGTTGTCAGTTCAGGATATGTATTTAATTCACCGTTTCGACGTCGTACGCACTTTATAACATCATATTTTATGGTATCGCATTTTATCGTACCATATTTTGTCGTATCGCATCATATAGCATCACAGTTTGTAAGCTAGTCGGTAATACCGTGTTTTGTAGTGTATTTCGTAGCATCGTCTTTATAGTTTTTTCGTGCATTTCGTAGCATCGCTTTTTATAGTTTTTCTCGCAGTGTGTTGTAACGAGTGAGTGAGCGATGTAACGAGCCGAAGCCAGCGAATGTATAACAAGCCGAACATCTCAGAAACCACCTTGTGGATGAGTTCCAAGCAAACGAATACAAATGCAAAATCATAGAAACGTTACAGGAATTCCTCCGCCCCAATGGCCATATTGTGACCACCGTTCAAGGCAACGGTCAAGAAAAAATATAAAATACTGCAGGAAAATAATTCTCAGGGTCAAGGCCAAGTAAATTATCACCATTGGCTTAGATGTGCTTGTAGAACGTCAAAACGAATTGCCACATTAACGGCCAGCAGTTGGCTGTCAACCAGTTTAACGCATTAGATGCAATTAGATCACGGACCACGTTTTTTATGTTACATAACGCAACATTTGTTACAATTTTTTGTTACATTTAGGCGGTTCAATAAGACTTATCTAACACGAGGCTAGGACTTGAATAACTTGAAAATAGCGTGATAACCCAGACCACAAACGCAAGTGAGAACATGTGACCACGGGAAAAATATACAACACCACTACAGGAAGTGCCACAACATGCGCACACAACGTACACGGCTTATCTCACGCGGATAAGTTATGAAGCCACCTTGCGGCATGTTGAAGGTGAGACAGCCCGTCCATTACAGTGGCAATTCTGGTGCAGCCAGTCTTGCAGCGACTCTGGCGCCACTCAGGCGCCTAGAGCGGAAGATCACGCCATAAAGGAGCCTCCTGATCCATGAAAGGAGCTTTGTAATTTATTGAGGGTGTCTTGTTATCTGGAACACGACTACAGGAAGAGGTGGTGCCTTTAACCAAAGATGACCAAGGGAGAGGTTAAGATGATGTGTGGTGGGAAGCGAGAGGCAGGAACAAGAACAAGCCGGAGAAAGTAAGAAACAGATGGACACAAATGAAACCAGCGATGAATTTCTTTTAAAGCCATTGTAGCAGAGGGAAGTTCCATGGATGGATACACGTCAATATATGCCGCTAGGAGATCGTGGGATGATAAGAAAGTCATCATCTCAAAGTGATGATTTGGCAAAAAATGAATTTAAGAAAGTCATCATCCCACGATCATAAAAAATAGCTTACGATTAATATTTGTGGTTAACGTGACCACAAGGCATTTCTAAACCGATCTCTTTTGTTACTTGCATTATCCCGAACCTGTTGGGAGAGGGAGAGGGCTTCTCGAATAAGGCGAGCGTCTGTCGTGGGCGTCACCGGGGGGGGGGGGGGGGGGGGGGGGGCGCTGGTGGTCAGCAATGAAGTGGTCAGCATACTGTTTCTTTGAGGCGTAGGGCTACGGTGTTCAGCCTCAGGGGTTGGTTGGAGGGGAAAAGGTTGTATTTTTTTCCCCAGTTGTCTGTTTTGTTCCAGCTTCGGAAACTCGTGGCGGCGACATTGTTTTGGATGTATGATAGCATCGTATTGCGTCGCATCGTGGACATATTTTCCGTTTCTATCATTGGAGCAAACAATTTAGTTTTTGGCATGGAATGTTCAGTGCAGACAGCGTTCGGCGATGGATGCCGGAACATTGTCCTTGGACACGTGGTGTCGCGGGCGTCACCTTTCGTAGGGCGGCGTTCGGAGCTTGGATTGGATGCGATGGATGCTTTTCCGGGGAACGGTGCGTTTCGGGGCGTGCTTTTGGACGCTTGTGTTGGCATCAGTGTCAGAACCATGGGATTTTGCACCGACATCGTTTCAGAAGGCGCTTCATGTAGGTTTCAAGATTGGAGGTCTAGAAGTTAAGATGACAGAAATTTCCAGACGTGATGCAGCGGTCCCTCAAACATCCTCGGCCACAAAAATTGACTGGTGCACAATGTGGGCGACATCCTCAGTCCAGTCCAATATCATGACAACGGTCACTTTTAGCAATGACACCAGCAATATATCACATACGCTGTACATCAATCATTCTTTGATGTGCGTGCAGGGGAGAAGCTATGCCACTAATTCATAGAATGCACATGACAATAGAACGTATTGGTTCTTCGGAAGAAGAATGGGGTTTATTTTCCCACCTTTAAAGTGCAATGGCACTACGCTCGCGGACGGTTCTTGAAAGATGTTAGTAAGAGATGCCTTGTGTTCTTGGAGAACTTCTAAAAATCACCTTGGTGCCTGTGTCTCAATCTTTGCACGCATGTGCAGACAGCTTTCGCAAAATCCACATGTGCATACATGAGAATATGCACAGACCCGTATTATGTACACTTATAGACTACTTTATTTTGGTGCCTACATGTGCTTTTCCCATCAATTGCCCCCCCCCCCCCATTTTCCCATCTATCATTACCATGTACAGTCTCAAATGTTTGACTGTATTTTTACTGAGGAAAATCAAAGCGCACCCCCCACATACGAATACCTAGATGCTTACATGTTTGAATGGTCAAATGCGTGTGCGGACGGGTATCTGCGCTAAGCAGTTTTTGTATTGGCCTCAAATATCTTGCTTTGTGGATTCACTTGCGCTCGGAAGGGCGGCTAAATTGACTCCTGCCCGAAGGTTTTTCCGGAATAGTTTTCTAACGGCGCGGCGTAGCTGCGCCAAATTTTGCATAGCTGTAGACAATTAAATGGCAGATCGTTTGGCGTCACAAACTGAGATGTGCTTTGCAAGGTCACTGACCTATGATAGGTCAAAACCAGGCCATGGTTCAGCGAAGGCAATTTCTAGGCAATCGTTAAATCTGATCCAACAACGCAGTGTTGGACAACGCCATACATCGCTGAAATGCTTTCTTAGGCAATGCAACAGTTGAATGAACAAATTACATTGACGTCAGGTGAAATATGAGGGTCCGGCCAAGGTCATAACCAACCTATTTTATTACTGTAGGGTATGGGATAGTTTCTGGTGCTCATTTCGAATTTATTGAAAATGGGAACCGCGTCATACACTTTCCATAGACTTCTTGAAGGTCAGAATAGGTAACTGACCTAGAATGAACCAGGTGAGCATTTTTTTTGAGGAGCATACTGCCTAGCGTAGTTCTTGTCGCTTATCCAAATGCAAAACTCAACGCAGTCTTTTTTAATTTGGTCACTTTGACCTTCAAAAAGTCAAACGAGGTCACTGACCTTCGATGAGCATATCACTTTTTGCTTAGAACAGTTCTCTAAGTTTCCGGAACCCTTTGGGGACCAACCTGGAATTTGACCTTGTTTGACCTTATTTACCCGAAAGTAACGGCCTAGGAACCTCAAACTTTGACTTAAGTGATTGTACGTACAGGTCAACATACACTGTAAATTTGGTGTCTCTAGCTCTCTTAGTTTCTGAGATCTCACGGGGGTTAAATTGACCCCCACCCGGGCGAAGGGTATCCAAGCGGCCACTTGGGCGCGCGTTACCACTATAAGAAAGGACAGAAGCAAAACAACAGTCGACTATAGAAAAGAGGATGAGAAAAGAGAAAAGAGGAATAGAGAAAAGACGAATACCCAAAGCCAGTACGTAAGCGTGGACCCATAGGTGGACGGACGCGTCCGTCTATCGTTACCAGTGGGTAGGCGTTGGCCGTGGAGTTAGCGTTCTGTTACATCTGACTTAGGCTGGCATCATTCAGCAAAGCTGTGAAGCGCACTGGTCTACGTTGAATCGTGCGATGTGGCTGTCATCGGGAGAATTCGTGTTTAAACCGTCTGAGGGCAAACTGGAGAGAGAGGATCAAAAGAGACAGACCATTTACTTTGAGGTCGCCCCGTTTGTTTCAAATTTTACCTCACACTGTCTTCCAAATCTGTGGCTGAAAAATTATTTAGCTATGCAATACTATATTACACTATCACGCAGGGTTTCTTGCAGACCTCCACGTGCCTAATGAAGATGTTATGTGCCTAATCCACCCGTTGGACATGGGACTGTACCCATCCATATCAAATCACCGAGCTACCCGCTCCTTATCAGTTGCATCCACTCGCTTGCAGTTTTTTTTACACATCTGGTCTGCTTGACGAACGAGTTTAGGGAAAGCAGTATGAAGAATATTATGACAAAAGTGCGCGCAGTGAAATTTTGGAGCATTTCTTGACTAACTTATTTTCTGAACAGCATGCCCATATCCGTACCAGTGCCCGTAAATTCCCAAAAAATTGTGTCGACCGAAACCCGTTGCCCATTCTACACCAAGGCCCTATAACAGAATTTCATATGGGTATCCATGGGTATACCCAAGCTGCGATGCCATGTAGTTCCCGGAGTTCCTGCAGCAGCAATAAATTTCTTCTTTTCCTTCACCATACCACTTTTCCACGAAAGTAATAAAGCTTCCAACCATTACAGCTACAAAGATGCCTCTATCAAGACAAACGAAATCGGCTATTGGACGTGTGTGGCAAGACATCTCCAAAATTGTTATCGTTTAAGTTTTGTGCACGCATACCCTTACTGGCGTGCTTTTGTTTTCTAGTATCAATGACCATCGGCTCAGATTAATGGAACGATAGGCCGGTGCAAATATCTCAAGGTATGTGGAGAGCTAGAATAACATCAAGTGGTGATGATTTGTGACGGCATAAGAAGGGCTGAAGGGTGTGTAAAAGGCCTTTTGCTTTTGTTGGTGAGCTTCCATGTGTCTTGTAACTCAATGAATGATTTTAAAAAATATTCTGCTACTAGTATAACAGTTCACAATTTTTTACTCAGTGTACTGCTATAAGGATGAAGATATGCCATAATTTGCTAGTATTAAGGAAGTTGAAGATATCAGTATTTTTTCCCACAGGATGTATGTCTACATGTGGAAGCATTCTCGTACAGGAAGTACTGGCGTTCACACTGTCATGGCAGTGGATGTGGCATAAATGACGCTATTTTGACCCTTGGATTTCTTAGGGATTATTACCGGCCATTAGGGATGTAGGTCATTGATGACATAAAGTTACTGCCAGAAAAAGGAACACCAGGTATATTATGACTTAATATGTTGTTGGGTCAGGTCTAAGATCCTACTAACATGGCTTGTCTTGGCTGAATTCCCATTACCTGACTTACTGGTATTGTGTACTGAGTTTAGGAATTAGGTAAAACATATTGTTACAATGCAACTTCTTGTTCACTATTGTATCCATGATTTATGTTATAGTAAAGCCCACTAATGAAAACTATTTGGATAGCTTCTGATTTATAGGTGAATAATAGATGCCATAATATAACCTTTTTTGTCATACTAAGATGCATATTTGCTTTTGATTGCCTTGCTTTGCTTTAAAGACAGTGTTTCAACATGATAGATATTCAACAACAAGTAGTGTAGAATGGAGAATGTTTCATAATTTGTTTTCCTAAGTGGTGCAAGAAAGACAAACATTTTGCTGAGGAATAGACTCAATCCCATTATGATGTGTTGTACAGTATAGTTGAACACCTATTGGACAAGGTTGTACTCACTTCTTTGATATACACAGAGGTCAGGTACAATTCTGTGGGCATGACAAGTATAAAACTCATTTCAAATGAAACCATGCATTGGCTTATCATTGAGTTATATATGTTTCAAAATTGCTTCAGAATGCTGTGTTGTATGATGAAATATCACTCATGTGTGCCACCATTTTGACATGCATTGAGTGAATACTGGGTGAAGTGAGTCCCAGACATGCATCAGGGGGTACTAGTGTGGTCTGGGAGTTAATGTGCATATATTTGTATAAATTTTGTGATCAACTACAATGTAGGTATTCTGTTAAATCACACATAAAGCAGAAATGGTCCAGACTTCTCACATGGTCCTGTGAGGTAAGGTGTTGCCTGCCATCATGCAAAAAATAGCATGATTCTTTAATGTTCATCTTCCCCCCCCCCTGAAACAGTACTGGGAACATGATTAAAACAATGGTGATTATTAGGTTTGGTAAATAGTCTTCTGAAAATGCAAGCAAAGGTGCCTGCTTACACATGGGCAATGCCAACAATATTACATCTCAAAAGGACATGCCATTACTTTTATCTGTCCACAGTCCTGTTGTGTGTTTTAAAACCATCAAGCATTCCACCTGACATGTGCCCTTCCCCAGCCAGCATGTCGAAGGCCGACGAGTACCGCGAGCGCCAGGAGAACGAGGTGCTGGCCATCGCGTCTATGTACCCGGCCAAGGGCGAGTTCGAGGACCTGCGCCGGCGGGACGTGTGGAGCGTGCCGCGCCCGCCTGAGTTCCTGCTGCGCGTGCAGGCGTTGGCCGCGGCCGCCGGTCAGGCGCAGTGCTCCGTCAGCCTGCACCTGACGATGCCGGCGCGGTACCCGGACGCGGCGCCCAAGGTGCAGCTAGAGCGTGCCGAGGGCGTTTCCGAAGCCGAACTGGCCTCGTTGCGTTCCGAGCTGGAGAAGCTGGCGCGCGAGCGGCTCGGCTCCGAGGTGGTGCTCGAGCTGGTGGAGCGCGCGCAGGCGCGGCTGGCGTCGCTCGCGCGGCCGCGTTTCGACTCGCTGCACGCCGAGAAGGAGCACAACGAGCGTCTGCGGCTGCAGGCGGAGGCGGCACGCCGCCAGCAGGAGCAGGAGCTGCGTCACGCCGAGCAGGAGCGGCGCCGCGCCGAGGTGCAGCAGGAGCAGCAGCGGCGCCGCCAGCTGCTGCACGAGCAGCGCGCCGCGCGCCGCCGCTCCGTCAGCACCGGCCACGAGGAAACGTCTGTCTCGGAGAGCACCGAGTGCGCCGAGCACGCAGGCTCGCGCCGGCTGGCGTTCGCCGGCCGCGACGAGGTGCTGTGCGGTCAGTGTCTGGAGCACACGGCTGCCGGCGCCGCCACGCGCACCGGCGTGGACACGCGCTCTGGCGAGCCGGTCCGGCTGCAGCAGTGGACGGTGCGGTGGCGGTCGGCGCACGCCACACGGAAGGGACGCGGCTCCGACCCGGCCGCCAAGGAGCGCAGAGAGATGCTGGAGCAAATCGGAGCGCTGCATCGTGAGCTCGGCTCCCTGCAGAAGGTGCGCCACGACAATCTTCTGCCCTACCTAGGCATGACACACGAGGAGACGGCGGGAGGTGCCGAGGTGTTTGTACAGCAGGATTTTGTGCAAGCCTCTGACGTCAGTCGGTATGTGCGCCAGGGCGTGCAGATGGACGCCCGTCAGCTGCGTCTGTTGGCGGTCGGACTGGTGGCGGCTCTGGCTCATCTGCATTCCAAGAACGTGATCCATGGCGATATCCGCGACACCAACGTGCTGCTGGAGAGCTCGGGCCGCGTGCGGCTGGCCGACTTCTCAGTGTGCCGGCGACTGGCCGAGTTGGCCGGCACCTCGCCGTCGCCGCCGCCCGACTACCCGCCCTACTCCGGCCGAAGCGGGAAGAAGGCGGATGTGCAGCGGCTGGGGGTGTTGCTGGTGTCGCTGGCGCGCGGCGGCGTGTCGACCGAGCCGGCGCCGGAGCCGCCCGACTGGCTGCCCGAGTCGGCGCGCAACTTCCTGGCGCGCTGTCTGGAGCCGGTCGAGAAGCGCCGCTGGTCGGCCGAGCAGCTGACCCAGCACGGCTTCCTCAGCGGCGAAGTAGGACCAACCAGCGTGCCCACGCCGTCCGCGCCCGCCTCCCCCGACGCCGAGCCGTCGGCCACCGGCATCGTCGCTACGCCCGGGCCCAGCCAGCAGCTGGCCACAAACTTCCTGATTCTGGAGCACCTGGGCACCGGCGGCTTCGGCGACGTGCTGAAGGTGCGCAACAAGGTGGACGGCAAGCTGTACGCCGTGAAGAAGATCGTGTTGGAGCGGGACAGACCGCAGGACCAGCGCAAGATCGCTGTGGAGGCGCAGCACCTCTCCATCTTGCAGCATGAGAACATCGTGCGCTACTACACCTCCTGGATGGAATCGGAGGACGTGGAGGAGGAAGACGAGGAGGAGGACAGCGGCACCGAGGACGAGACACTGGCCGTGGTCTCGGATCGCGAGGACTCCTCGGACAGTATCGTGTTCGAGGCGCCGTCGGGCGCCGGCGGGGACGCCGCCGCAGCGCCATTGAGCGACGACTCGCTTCCGCGAGCTGGTGGCCGGCGCTCCAGGCCCCGCGCCCGCCTTTGTCTCTGCATCCTGATGGAGTACTGCGAGAAGAGCACGCTGCGCACCGCGCTGCCGCGGCTCTGCGCCAACCAGCAGCTGCTGTGGCGTCTCTTCCGCGAGATCATCGAGGGCGTGGCGCACGTGCACCAGCACGGCCTCATCCACCGAGATTTGAAGCCGGATAACATTTTCCTTGACCAGAACGAGCACGTCAAGATCGGCGACTTCGGCCTGGCCACGTCGAAGGTGGTGAAGCCGCGCGCGGAGGAGGCGACGCCGGACCGGGCGCAGGCCGAGGCGGCCGGCGACGTGTCGGACACATCGTACGCCTACGCGGTGGGCACAGCGCTGTACCGAGCGCCGGAGCTGCAGCCGAGCGGCGGCCGGCGCGCCTACACCAACAAGGTGGACATCTACAGCCTGGGCGTCATCTGGTACGAGATGTGCTGCGGCGCCTTTGCCACCAAGAGCGAGCGCGTGCATCGCCTGAGCCAGGTTCGCCAGCCGGACGTTTGCGTGGCGGAGGACGTGCGCCAGCGTTTGACCGACCAGCAGCTGCAGGTGCTCCGCTGGCTGCTGGACCACGAGCCGACGGCGCGCCCCTCATGCGTGGAGCTGCTTAGTTCCGATTTGGTGCCGTCGCCGCCGCTCGAGGAGGCGCGCCTGCGCACCATCTTCAGCGACACGGTGCGGCGGCCGGGCACGCGCCGCTACACCCACCTGGTGGACGCCTGCTTCTCCCAGCGCGCCTCGCACACGGACGACTGCGCGTATGACGTGACGCTGGGCCGGCCGGCGGCGGCGCCGGAGCGCGCGGCGCTGGCGGAGGCGGCGCGCGCCCGCCTGGTGCGCCTGTTCCGGCGGCATGGCGCCGTGCCGCTGTCGGCTCCGCTGTTGACGCTGCCCAGCGCGCAGTTCGCCGCCGACGACGCCGTCCGCCTGATGACGGCCACCGGAGCGCTGGTCGAGCTGCCGCGCAGCCAGCGGCTGCCGCTGGCCCGGCTGCTGGCGCGCGCCGCCGCCGGCCCCCTCAAACACTACGCCGTGGAGCGCGTCTACCAGGAGCGGCTGCCGCGCGGCCTGCACCCGCGCGAGCGCCAGGAGGCACTGTTCGGCGTGCTGGCGCCGCCGGCCGGCGCCCTGCTGGCCGACGCCGAGCTGCTGGCCGTGCTGGCCGGCCTGCCGACCGCGTTCCCGGCGCTGGCGGCGCGCGAGTACACCCTGCTGCTGGGCCACACGCTGCTGCTGGAGGCGGCCCTGGAAGCGGCCGCCGTGCCTGCCGAGCAGCGCTCGGCCGTGCTGGACGTGCTGGCGCACCAGGCGCGCGACGTCGCCCGGCCGCTGGTACGGCTGGGCTGCGCTGGCGGGAATGGGCACCGCCCCGCGCGCCGGTAGGGGGGGGGGGTTGGTGTATCACCTGATGCGGCTAAGGGGACAGACACTGTTAGGCTCTCAACTTGCTTGCTACGCTCTCCTCTTCCCCACGGGTTACCGTACAAAACGTTCACGGTGTCATCAGGTTTGTCCGAGGTCACATTTTTAAAATGTGGCTGCAATCCGGCTGAAAGTGATAGTTTATCCTTGGTGATGGTGATGATTGTGATTGCGACGGTGGTAGCGATGTGCTGCTGGTGTTGCTAACCACCTCGGTATTCGAGATGACCGCGATTTCGGTGACCGTGCTGCTGCGGGCCGCTCCCCGACGCCTTCCATCCCTCACTGATGACTGGCCTCACGACAGCGCCCCGCCTGCTCCCGGCCGCTCCCCCGACACCTTCCATCCCTCACTGATGACTGGCCTCACGACAGCGCCCCGCCTGCTGGGGGCCAAATGACCACCGCAGTCAGCGCGCTCCTAAACTAAAAAAAAAACAACAAAAATGCAATAAACAACAAATGTCCCCACCTGCTGCCGGCAGCTGCAGCGCCAGCTGGAGGCACTGGGCCTGTCGGAGCGCACCGCCGGCCAGCTGCTCTCCCGGCTGGAGGTGCGGGGCTCACTGGAGCGCGTGCAGGCGCTGTTCTCCAGCCGACGCCAGTCAGAGACGGCCCGGCAGGCGCTGCATGAGCTAGCCGTGGTGGTCGAGTTCGCCGAAAAGCTGGGCGTCACGTACCCGATGGTGGTACACCCTGGTGAGTGCGTCTGCAGCACGCTCTGTAGGCGGGGCGCTGCGCTCACCCCGGTCCATGTGGGGAGGGAACATGGAGGGGTATGCCTCCATCTTGAGGCTGCGTTTGGGACAGAAATGCGATCATTGCCGATATATGTATATATATATATATATATATATATATATGAATGTTTCTATACAATCATTTCAAAAATCAGAAGACTCAGCAAGCATTCCTCCAGAAGCTGGGATGAACAGTTTTTGGCGAACTTGGATATTCGTCGGGCATTCTGGTGATTCATTTGATGCCTTTATTCGTCACAGAAGGTCGTCTACTGTGTTGGAATAATTCTGCAATGTTTTGTTATAGCATGAACCCTATGTGAGAAAAGTGACTCTTTCCAATGAAACGCCTCTTTAATGGCGTTCTGGTACACTGCTTTCAAACGTTGCAATACGGCGAAGTCAGCTAAACAAAACCGAAAAGTCACAAAGGTTTCCGTACGTCGGAACTTCAGAGATGCTCTGAGCAGAGTAGCCGTGCCATTGTGGTAGAAATAATTGGGATCATGTACGACGTGAGCCAGACGCAGTGCGCACCCAGTACTGCTCTACAAAGCCTCGTTGGTAAAAGGCTGCGAGGTCAGCTCAAGCCATGTGTTTCCGTGCGGGTGAAGTGTAATTAAGTTTTGTAGTAGCCTTATTTTAGATGCTGCAATATGGAGTGTAACGCTTCGTGGGCACTTGTTTCGTCTTGATTGGCGAGAGGACACATATATTGAGCTGACACAGCGCACTTAAGAGGCGTTCCGCGTTGTCACATGCCCTGAGCGCTGTGCATTAGAAACGTTATCTTCCTTTCGGTAGATTTAGCGCGCTTTCTCCTCGTCATTATTGAGCCATCGTTACAACTCATCCATTCAATTAAAAGAAGTTTCAAATTCATTCAGCACGAGGACTTGCATCGACTTTAAGACGACGCAGGGTCTCGCCCCGAGCGAAACATTAAGTCTGAATAACTTCGGTTTAAACAGACACGTGAATAGTCTGCGAAATAAAAGAAAAATAGAAAACGATTTCTCTTGAAGATAACAAACATCTATAAAAACATATGGAGATGATGTCCACCATTGTGTGAAGTGATTACACAAATGTGCGAACCATGAAAGGTAACAATCTGGCATCATATACGAATCGCTGTTCGCTGTCCATGTTCTACACAATGCAGAAAGGTTGAGCGAATGTGGAGGTCGTTATCACGTCTGATAGGTCTGAACGTGTGTTTTATCGGCTGGTTTTTATCCATAGCGTGGCGTTACCTTGTGATAGTTCTTTGCGGCACGTAACGTCGATGTGCTTGATGGTGTTTCATAGAACGATAGGTTTGTGTCTCGTACTTTGACATTTTACGCTCCTCAGACAAGAATGTAATGGGTATGGATGACCACATGTCGTCAGCCAGTGCTTAGCTTGCCTGGCCGGGTAATCACAATCTGGCGGTAGCAGGCGACAGCGCGTGCTGTGTGCGACCAGGGTGTCTCGAGCGCTCAGTGAGCACTCTGCTGGCAGGTCTGGTGCTGGGCCAGCAGCAGCGCCACTTCGCCGGGCTGGTCTTCCAGTTGGCGTGCCCGCGGCGGCGCGGCGCTGGCCTCGACGTGCTGGCCGTCGGCGGCCGGTACGACCCGCTGCTGGCGCACTACTGGGCGCTGCTGGGGCCGGCCGGCGCGCCGCCACCGGCCGCTGCCGCCGTCTCCGTCTCCTTCGACAAGCTGGTGTCGGCGACCGTCGAAGAGGGCCGCGCCGCCGGCACCCCGTTCGACGTGGTGGTGCTGGACGGCGCCGACCGTGCGGCGGCGCGCCGCCAGGCGGTTGTGGCGCGCCAGCTCTGGGTCGCCGGCGTACGCGCCTTCCTTTACGCCGGCGCCGACTCGGCCGCCGCCGCCGACGAGGCGGCGCGCTGGGCGGCGGCGCAAGGCGCGCGCGCCCTCATCCTGCCCAAGGACTCGGACGCCAAGATGGTGCGCGTGCGGCCGCTGGAGGCGCGTGCCGCCGCCGAGCGCGCCGTGCCCGCCGACGACCTGCTCACCTGCCTGGCTGGCCTGGGCGTGAGCGGCGAGCGAGGCCCGGAGCGGCCGGCCGAGCCGGCGGCGGCGGCGCGGCCCGAGCCGCCGCCGGCCGTCGGCTTGCCCCTGCGCTGGGTGGTGCATCGCGACACGGCGCGGCCCAAAGATCGTCAGATGCTGGAGGCGGCAGCGGAGCGCCAGCTGGCGCCCGAGCTGCTGGCGCTCGGCACCGCCGCGCGGCCAGAGGTGCTGATGGTCGAGCTGGACCAGGAGGACCTGCAGCAGCTGACCCGGCTCCGTCTCAACGAGCCCGAGTCCGCCTTCCAGCAGAGCGTCGACCAAGTGCTGGAGCGCTGCCGCGGCCAGCGCAAGTACGTGGCGAAGGTGTGCGACGAGCTGGCACGCGTGCGCGGCCGGCGCTGCGTCGTCGTGCTGTTCAATTACCAGACGAGCAGCCGCCTGCTACTGGCGTGCGCCGGTGCTGACCACTGGCGTTAGCCGACGGCCGAGCGGCGCCCTCCGCTGAGGCCGGTCCCGCGGGGGGATCGACCGCCCCGCATCGGCGCCGATGGTTGAGTCATGCTCATTGCGGTGTCCGCGGTTGGTGTGGGGGGGGACGTCTGCGGGCCAGTCCATAGAATGGGTGTCTGGTGTGGCACGCTTCCGGGGGCGCGTCGCGTGTGGGTATTTAGTTGCCAGCTGAACTGAGACGTACTGACTTCGTGTTCAGAGTCGTCATCCAGGTGACCAGTCGCGCTGTAATATATTTTTACAGTTGCTTGGACTTATGTTGGTGCTGTGCATTGAGACATGCATTCTTTAACAGTGTCATGAATTGGCCTTGCATTTGCGTGCGCTGGTTGGCTATGACAGGGGAACCAAAAACTTAGTGCTCTATCGGGTGTTTCCAGGCAACAGCGTTTGTGATCTGTTTGGACAGTATTTTCTGTCGGCCCTGTTGTGAATGCCGCGCTGCGGTTGATGTGATATGTGTTGGGCAAGACGGCGATCTCCGCTTCTGAGCTTGGTGCTGACATTCTCAGAAACACAAATACCATTTGAGATGGGAGCCCTCGTCCGGAGAAGGTTTGTGACTTTTGGGGGCATTGTTATGTCTTCTGAATAAATGCGTAATATTTGAATTGAAATGACAATATGCATTGTTCTAGTATATCGCCGGAGATAGTGCATTCGCTGCGTTTCCATCAGAAATGTCATCGACGGTTGTGAGCGGTTTTTTGTGCATAGCTTTCTGTATTCGTGTGACGGTTTTCCCGAGATATCCTGACGACACAGCATGCAACCACACATAGTTACTAGCAACAAGGCGTGATGAAAAATTTGTTATAAAACTTCACATAAATAATGCAATGTAGCGATAACAAATGAGCACCGACCCATTTAGGAAATGCGCCCGTAAAACAATCTACGCATGGCTCTGAAGCACCGTGTCGGGCGTGACCTCTCATATCCGCATCGCTTACATGGAACCACCGGCCGGTTTCCAGCACCGGCTCCACTGCCGGCCCATTTGCTCCTGCTCGTGCACTTGCCCTGCCTCCTGCTCGCTCCTGCTCTGGCTCCTGCTCTGGCTCCTGCTCCAGGGTGGGGGACGTGTCAGACAGGGACGGCGCGCTCTAGACGCGCGCGCAGGCCAGCTGGTACACAGCATCAACGAGGCGGGTGAGGGGGGGAGGAGGGTTGGCGGTGAGTCGCTCGCCGCGGTGGCGAAAGCTTGCGTGCGCCGCATAGTGCCTTTGTTAAGCCGCATAGTGTCTTTGTTAAGCCGCATAGTGTCCTTGTTAAGCCGCATGGTGTCTGTTAAGCCGCACAGTGCCTTCGTTAAACCTCATAGTGTCTTTGTTAAGCCGCATAGTGTATTTGTTAAGCCGCACAGTGTCTTTGTTAAGCTGCATAGTGTCCTTGTTAAGTCGCACAGTGTCCTTGTTAAGCCGCCTAGTGTTTGTTCGACCGACCGCTGTGCAAAATTACACGCTGGGCAATGAGTGGAGCAGGCGCCGCTGGCCGAGGGTATTTGTGACAGGTCTTGGCAGGTGACGAAGCAGAACGGCGCCAGGTCCAGACCCTCGCTGGACTGTACGTGCCGGCTGGCTTTACGCAGGCTGTAGCTGCACATCTCGAGCCCGTTCATGTGCACGGTCGGCACTGAACACCAGCAGCTGCTTCTTGGCGTTGGTGTAGACCGTGTCGCCACCCGGCTGCTTGCCGGCAGTGTTCTCGCTGGGCTGGCTCTCGGCTGGGTTCTCGCTGGGTTGGCTAGTCGCTGGGCTGGCTCTCGGTTGGATTTTCGCTGGGTTGGCTGGTCACTGGGCTGGCTCTCCGCTGGATTCTCGCTGGGCTGGCTCTCGGTTGGGTCCTCGCTGGGCTGACTCTCGGCTGGGTTCTCGCTGGGCTGGCCGGTCGCCGGGCTGGCTCTCCGTTAGGTTCTCGCTGGGCTGGCCGGTCGCCGGGCTGGCTCTCCGTTAGGTTCTCGCTGGGCTGGCCGGTCGCCGGGCTGGCCGGTCGCTGGGCTGGCTCTCGGCTGGGTTCTCGCAGGGCTGGCCGGCCGCTGGATGGCCGGTCACCGGGCTGGCCGGTCGCTGGGCTGGCTCTCCGCTGGATTCTCGCTGGGCTGGCTCTGGACTAGGTTATCGCTGGGCTGGCCGGCCGTCAGCCGGCCGTCAGCCTGCGGCAGGGCAGCTCGGAGCAGGGCTCGCAGCCGCGCCGCTTACCGTCAGTGAGCAGCTCGATCCGTGCGCTGGTTCAGGCCGGTGAACTGGTTGCACCCGCCGGGCGCCTGTGCCTGCGCCGGCAGCGTCATTAGCGCCCGGCTTAGCCGAGCGCGTCGCGGGCGCCGGTGTCCAGACGCCGTCCGTCAGCTGACCAGCACCCACGATGGCCGTACCACAGGCACATCCAGACGTCGTCCGTCATATCTATATCCATATGTCTTTTAATTACCCGAGCTTTATATCGCCCAAAAGTTAAGGGCCGATTTCGTGTTTTCAAGCGTTATAATATTCACCAGCGTATGAACTAGCGTCCGTCAAAAAGTCGTCGTCTCTCAGTCACATTTCAGAGCGAAAGTCAGTCTGAAATGACAGAGGGCTCCATGTGGTCCAAGCGTTACAGGACGATTTGATATTTTCAGGCACCGAATGACCTTCAGTGCATAAACTTGCGTCATGAAGCCATGACCTCTCAAGGTGACCCGTTAACGTCAGATTTAAGTTAAAATGGCTGGCAACTCCATATAACCTACAGTTATAACGGCCGACTTCGGAGTGTTAAGCATCATAACATTCACGAGTGCATGAATAGCATCTGTACCCTTCAAGGTCACTGTTTGAGGTCAAGGATGAGGTCAAATGACATGGAAGTTAAATTTAGCTGAGATTTATCGGCCGATGTCAGCTTTTCAACCCGCCCTGATTTCGCACTTTTTATAGCGTGGACCGATAGGGGGATTGATGCGACCCCTTCCCCTTCCGTTTCCAAACTATGAGACATATGTAGAGCTTAGCAGAAAACGTCAGTAAATTGGCCTCAAAGAGATCGCACGATTAGTGATCGACTGGGCTAGTAAGGTTTGATTTTGCTAGGTCAATGATTGATCCAATTATGACTGGTCAAAAGCAATCGTCCATCTTCCCGATAATCGTTCGTTCGTTTGATAATCGCTTGTTTGATAATCATTTGGATGATGTAGAGTTCCCCCGTCCGAGGTCGACTTTGACTTTGAATGTGACCTCAGACCCAGAACTCATCAGGTTTACAAACTCATGTATGTAAGACCGTTCATCGAATCGACCCCTCCATGTAACAACGTCGGCCCGCTGTCGTCCATCCCCGGATATCATTGGTTGTCGCCCGCCGCCCGCTCCGGCTGTAGACCGCCGTGCTGTGTTCCTCAAAATCGGCCCCTGATCCGAAACCAGAAATGACACGTTTTGTGACAATGACATGGTGTCAGAACATGTTGAACGAATTACCAATAGATTACTGAGAATTTATACGCGATTGCATCAAATGCCAGGAAGGTATTCTCAGAAAACCTTCGGTCGGTTAAATTGCGCCAGTTTCGGGGTGCATCGACTGCTAGCGCTCATGCAGCGCAGCAGAAGTTGCGCTTGTAAAGGCGTTCATAAATTAAGTAGACTCTGACTGTTCTTAAGCACACGTTTACAATTTTCTTTGGACATGCACCAACGCATAACCTAGCGCTCGTCAAAGGTTCCGACTACTCGAGGTCAACCTGAAAGGTCAAATGACGAGTAATTCATGTCATCCAGAAGTTGCCGGCCGATTCCCGGATCCATAAACATCAGTTCCATATTTAACGCATAAACTGGCGTCTGCTAACAATTTGTTAAGTTTGAGCCTGAATTTGACCTGAGGCTGAATTTTCCCTCGAAAAGCGACCGAATTTTGAGCTTTTTGACGGTTGCTATGTCGGACGCTGGTGAATATTCCGGTGCCCAAAAATCCGAAGTCGGCCTGCAGCGTTTGGATGATATGGAGTTCCCGCTCATCTGAGCTTGACTTTGACCTTGAATGTGACCTTAGAGTCAGATTTTTTGACGGACTAGTCAATGCACTGTTGAATAATCTGCCGCTTTAGAATTCACAATCGGCTTATAGCTGTTTGGTGATATGGGTTTCCCGTCGCTTTACCTTAAATCTGATCTCGAAGTTCACGCGATGTTGTCAGACTCAGATTCGATGTTTTCTTGCCATCTGGCGCGTGTACACCAAATTGGGAACTCGTCGCTTAACAAATATCTAGATGAATCACCAAATTCACGGACGTGCCAAAAATTGTATTGGCTATAGCTATTTAGCTTCGTGCTCTGACTTTGGAACATCCGGTATCTCCTCGCAATCAAGCAAAGTCCTTTTGAAAAGAACCTGTGAGGCTCGAACGGCGTTGGCTCTTAACCCTGCATGCACAGCCCAGTTATACAATCGCATAAAAAGCAACTAAACCTCCTGAACATCCTAAATCTCTTATTACAGCAACGTTCCACGATCTTGCTGAAGCGCCCCTCATACCCCTGTTGACTGGAATGACTTCAAAGCCCAGCAGGTTCACAACAAATCCGTTTACAATATATCCGAACGGGAGTGAGTGATTCATCCCGCAATAGCTCAGGCCGAGTGACGATGGCGCCTCGGATGTTTTTTGTTTTTTGAAGCAGTACTCCTGGACAAGTTGCCCTATATTGCCGGTCAGTCACTTCATGTTGAACACTGCATTGGGATAGATGTGTAGCAGTTTTCTGGCGTTTTCCCTCCAAGCATTTGTTTGTTTTTCTAGCCCAATGGGACACATTTGCTGGCAAGTAATTCTGCCAGCATAAAAGCATTGCTGACACATTGTCAGGCACATTTCAGAGTCTAAGGCATCGCCACCCACGGTGGGAGTGCTGCCCCTCCCCCTTACCAGTCAGGAAGCTAGGACGCCGCGCGCATTTGACCCTAGTCAATGTACCTCGAGCCCACTACATCTTCTGCTCGCTGTGAGACGAGTCCTTTTACGCGCAACGGCATGCCATCGGGACGGTAGTAATGCTATGTAATGCTGGCTTTTGAATTAGTGGGCTGAAATAAGCCTTACCAGCTTCATGGCAACAGCTATTCGACGAAGCTGTAGAGATTAGTGACAGTCTCCGGCTGGTACGACTTTTATCCGATGCCCACCCAGTCAGACTGGTCCTTGGGCGCAGGCGGCTGCACATGTCCCGATCGCCGGTGCAGCAGTCAGTCCCAGTCACGGGCGCGGCGAGCACGATCCATGTGCCCTTCTGCTGCAGCAAACCAAAGTTTAGGACGGTCATCCAAACATTCGAGGGCGACCGGCGGTCAGCCAGCCAGCAGCAGTCATGACCATCTCCATGTGTATTCTCCCACTGGTGAGCTGCGTTTGATTGTGAACTCTTCTAAAGAGATTTTACGGCTTTTATTTTGAATTGAAACTCAGTTTGATGCGCTGAACATTTGCTGCAAATCAGTAAGAGCACTGTGAAAGCTACGTTTCTGCTCATAAGTCCTCTATCTTGGTGGTTATTGGGTTCGGAACGTAGACAGTGTGGAATGCGTGCGGGATCAAATGAATTTGAAGCTCAAGATTGCTGGTTTATACCACTGTTCACTTGTTTTGATCGTTGATCTAAAATCAAATCTTCATACTCTACGTACCCAACGCCCTCGTGCTATCGCAATATATTTTGGTAAAGTGGTAGTGTGAAACCATTATTTTTGGACGTAAGATGTAAAACACAACTTATTGGTCCTGGCATCTCAGATGGTGACATGTGTCGGCTAATTCTGCAGAGACTACGCGGTACCCCTGCCTTGCATTTTGGAACGGAGTTGTCCATGCCTATCAGCTCATTTACAGAGAAAAACATGCTGAAACCATTGAGCTCGTACCACCACAATCTGCCTGTTTGTGAGATAACTCCGGTTTTTGGAGAAATTCCGCAAAATTCATTTCACCGAGTCATGTAATTGCGACCGTGGAACATGCCACTAGCTATGAATGGCAATCGCTCTGCTCTTGGATCAAAGGCAGCTGATATCGCTGTGACGAAGGAGAGCCCTGCTGCAGGTCGCACGAAACTATGCATGGCATGGCTCTGATCTTAGTACACGGGGTTCTGTGGCATGATTGTAGAGATCGTGATAAGAAGTAAGGTACTCGACCGCATATTTATCACCACATTTTAGACAGGTGAAAGAAACCAAAGGTCATTAGCTTTGGGCTTGTCTCAACTGTCGAACACGTAACTATGA